GGTGGGGGAGGGGAGGGGCTGAGCGAGAGGGGGAGACAGCAGCTGTGCCCTGAAAACTGTTGGAAGGAGGAGCCTGAGACGGTCAGGGGACTGGGCTGCCCAGGGTCCCGGGGCAAGTCTGCTGGCCCGGCCCCCAGCCACGCCCCCTTCTTCCTCGTGACCACGGCTCGTGGGGAGGGTCTGTGTCTGGGGCCACTCCCTGTCCCCCCACTGCAGGCGGGGAGCCCCTGGTGCCGGCTGCATATGAGGTGGCCCTTGTGACGGGCTCGGGAGATTGGAGGAGGTGAGGGTGCGGGCAGAGCCGACAGGAGGCGGGAGGGACGCGCGGCCACAGAAGGAAAAGTGAGGTGGCTGTGGACGCAGGAGGGGTCCTGACAGGTGGCGCGAAGGAGCTGCTGCAGGTGGAGGGGAGGGTGGTGACGTGATGGAGGGGGAGGTGATGGAGCCGGGAGGGGTGCAGTGGGGGGGCCGATGGGGGAGGTCATGGTAGGGGAGGGGATGTTGGCGGAAGGCATGCAGGTGAAGGAGGAGGTGATGGGGGAGGAGGTGATGGAGGTGAAAGCCCCGTGGCGGTCCCCAGTCCCCAGTGGGTCACCGTGGGAGAGGTGGCCATAGCAGCGGCATCGCAGTAGGAGGCTGGCGGCTGGCTCGGTGGGTTAGCCCCGGCTTCTCCCCGCGGCTCCCTCCCCAGCCCCCCTCCCCTGGGGCAGCCCTTCTCTCCGAGCCTGTAAATACCCTCAGCCTCTGGGGGTCACCCTCCTCTGGGGGTGCCCAGGCCGCACGAGGACTGAGTGCCCTTTGGGGCTGGGGGGGTGACCCCGGGCCTCCGGCAGGGTGCTGACAGGGCAGGTGGCAGTGGTGGCGGGCGCACTGCTGGGGGGGCCGGCTGCCCCCCCCACCCCCCACCCCCCGCCTGCACTCGCACCTCCAAGTTTCTGGGCTGGGCTTGGGGGCCACGGGGAGGGAAGGGGGGAGGGACGCCGGACAAAAGCTGCTCCTGGTAAACAGCTCTGACTGGAGCCCAGATCGATTGGGGCCGTGAGGAGCTGTAATTAGATTGAACACTGGGAAGGGGGGAGAGGGGAGCCTCTTTTTGCTGTGATCGACAAAACGGGAAGTTTTTTCATGACTCTGCTTGGCCCGGCCCCTCCCCCAGCCCCTGCCTCTAGGGACCCAATTAGGCGCTTGATTGGAGAAAGGGGAAGCAGGTGAGAGAGAGGCAGGCTGCCCTCCCCCCCACCCCCATTCTGGGCTGGTCCACCCTGGCTCCTGCCCTGCCCCTGCTGGGCCTTGCTGGGCCACCTGGGGCAAGTGGCTTGCCTTCTCTGAATAAATAAGGAGAATAATACCTTACGGAATGACGATAAGGAGGAAAGGATAGGACACGTGTAAGGCTCCTGGCACGTAATGAGCCTGCTTGCTGAGGTCCGCTTTGCGCCCAGTGTGCGTCTGGAGTTCAAGAGAGTCGCATCCTCTACCAGCTGAGCAGCCAGGCCCCCTCTGTGAGCTTTCTGAGGAGCATTTGCATCTCTCTCCCTTCTGTGAATGTGTGATGAGTTTGTGAGTAAACTGCTAAGTGGATAATTAATGAATTGAAGATTCCAGCAGGTGGGCAAGAAGGGCCTCTTTTGAAATGTAAGGGCCTGAGGCTGAGTTCTGACTCTTAGCCTGAACTTGATGCCAGAGACCCAGCTTTCTCTTTGAAAGAATGGAGGACCTGGCCCCTGCCTTGACCCTCACAGGGTGGCCAAGTTCCAAGGAGCTGGGACTGTTCCTTGAACACCCTTCCAGCTCTTCATTATGCAGACAAGATAGGAACATATGTTCTCGCTCTTGTCTTCTATACACAACGGGCTGCCTGGTGCCTGTTTACCTGCCCTCACCGTCTCTCCATACCCACACCACACCCTTTCCCTCTGCTAGCTTCTCAGTACAGCTACAGATACAGTCTTTTGCCTAAATCAACATTCAGCTTTACATTATTGTGATTTCTGTGAATATCGTCCACAGCTGAGCCACATAGAGTACTAGGATTGCATTTCCTTTCTTGTACAACTGTTTGTTTTTCCAGGAGTTAGTAGTTGCCAATCATGAGTTCTTCCCACATCCCCAACAAAATGCAAACCAACTCAATAGGATTTTCTACACATATTAGGTTATGTTCACTTTCCACTTCCCTGGGTGCTGGATGGGGTTGCCCTCCATGTCCTGGGTGTCTTTGTTCCACAGTCTTCTAGGCTCTCCCCTCATCTTCTGGGGGACCCTCTCCTTTTCCTGTCGGTTGAATCACATTTTCCTTTTTAAGGAAAAAATATTTAACATTTACTTATTTTTGAGAGAGTGAGCAGGGGATGGGGCAGAGAGGGAGGGGGACAGAGGAGCCAGAGCAGGCTCCAGCCGACAGCACAAAGCCCCAGGTGTGAACTGTGAGATCCTGACCGGAGCCAAGTCCGGAGCTTAACCGCTTAAACGACTGAGCCACCCAGGCGCCCTCACACTTTCCTTCTTTAATTTACCTCCTCATTTTGGCGAGACTCCTCCTCCAGGAGCTTTCTGAGAAAGAGTGCACAGAAGTCAACTTTCAGAGACTTTGACTATGTCTTCATTCTACCCTCCTGTTTGGTGTTCAGCTGGGCATACAATTCCAGCTGAAGACAATTTCCCTCCGAATTTTGAAGGCATTGCTTCACCGTCTCCTAGGTTTTGAGAAGCCCCAAACCACTCCGACTCGCTCCCTTCCGTGATGTCAGGATTTCCTCTTTGGGAGCTTTTACTGTCTTCTCTTTGTTCCGAGCCTCAGAAATTTCACAAGGATGAGCCTCGGGAGTATCTTTTCTCATCCATTGAGCTGAGAACTTCATGGGCTCTTTTATTTTTTTTAATGTTTTTTTTTTTAATTTCTGAGAGAGAGAGAGACAGCGTGAGCAGGGGAGGGTCAGAAAGAGAGGGAGACACAGAATCCAAAACAGGCCCGAGGCTCTGAGCTGTCAGCACAGAGCCGATGTGGGGCTCGAACCCACGAACCGTGAGATCATGACCTGAGCAAAGTCGGATGCTCAACCGACTGAGCCACCCAGGCGCCCCTCACAGGCTCTTTTAACCAGGACTCACTCACATGTGCTTCAATGTGGATTTTTTGTTCACTATTTACTTGGGAATCTCTTCCTCTGGGACTGTGTCCTGATCAGACAACAGGCCCGCGCAGTTCACCCTCCTTTCCGGTCATCCTTTTCCCACTTCCCATCTCGGCATCTGCGTTCTTCTACTTCCAGAGATACCAGAGATGCGCGCTTCGAACACTGCGCTCCAGTCCTCGCGCTGATCTTATTCCAGCGCTTCTGTATTAAATTCTAAGAGCACCGTCTTCCCTTCTCGTTGTCCTTTTTATTGAACAGCATCCTGTTCTCGTTGCATGGATACAGTCCTGTGGCCTCACCCCCGAGAGCATCGCCAGCGCCCCTCCTGGTTTTCTCACTCATCCGACCCCCTCTCTCTCATCAGAAGCTTTTCTAAGCTGTCCAGCAATCTCCAAACCTCACCCTCACTTAATCATAAAACCTGCAACAGCCCATTAGAAGCGCTGTGCATTTCAGGTCAGAGGGAGAGAGGGAGGGGAGAGGTGTGAATGAGCCAGGCACAGGGAACATTTATTTATTTTTGCAGCCGTGTGTGGACATTGATCCGGCAGGCCATCTGGTTCAGACTGTTCCGGAACCAAAAAAAAAAAGCCAGTTTGACGCGTGGTCCCAGCAGGCCGCCAGCGATAGCCTGCAGGGGTAGCCTGCGCCCGGTGCGGACACTTACCGAGGTGACAGGTGACAGTTGCAGGGGTGAGGGAAGCAGGCTGGGTGGCTCTCCACGTCCCGCAGCCCCTGACTGGTATGTGGCTGCGAAACTGAGATTCGGACCTCTGTGCTGCGGCTCCTGGAGGGAGGGAGCGATCGCGGCCGATGTGCTCTGCCCTGCTCTGCCCTTCCACGCACTGGCCCCGCCGCGTGGAGGGGAGGGTCCACTTTGGAGCTCGGGCTCTGAGTCCTGCTCCACCACCCCCTTTGCGCGCAACCACCAGCCACGGGCATGGGCAGCCTCCCGCAGCCTTCTCCCTGCTCTGAACTGGGGGTGGGGGGTGGGGGGTGTCCGGCCTGCATACCTGCCCCCCCCCACTGGTCCTCCCTGCCCCAGAGGATCCCGAGGCCACTTGAGGGAGGCCGAGTCTGGGCCTCAGCGACTCCTGGCAGAGGGGGTGCTTAGGTATCAGCGTCAGCCTGGTGACCCAGGGTCCCTAGGCTGCCCGGGGAGGGAGGGGGGCACAGACTGTTCCCTCCCATCTGAGGCCTGATGCCCCATCATTCCCGGGGAGGTCATCGGCGATTGTGACACACGCGGGAGGACCTAGTCAGTAAGGCTTCTTCCACCCAGTCTACACTGAGCCACAGCTCACCTGTGGTCTTTTCAGTTTTCAGGTCGTTTCCCCCACTGGCTGTGCTCTCCGGGCGGGGTGTGGGGTCCAAGCCCTGCCCCCCCCCCCCCCC